GATTGACCCCTCTTTTGACCTATATAGATTGCTTTGTTCCCATGAACTTTAATGCTTAATGCAAGTGGCATCTTGACATTATCACTTAGACATTCATGCATCGCTCTTTTCGTAATCAATCATTTTCCTATCTTATTACATCGATAAAATTCTAATTAAAGATAAATACGAATAAATCTGATTATATCGATAAACAAATCATAACAAGTTACCAAACAATTAAAGGTCATCGACAATCACAAATCAAAGTCGAGCATTATGAAAAGATTATCTCTTAACGTAAATTATGTATTCAAATCTAATATAAAGGTTCAAAGTAAGGGAGATCAATAGGATAACAAATAAGAGCCGTCTTGATCAGTCGAGACGATCACATAAATACATCTACATATCCAAAGTAAGACAAATAGCAATTAATTGAGGTTAAGCAAGTTGTTATTTTTTAAAGTAAAAAAAACTACTTCAACTATTATTTATTAATGGATCATTAAATTCAGTCAAAATTATTATATCTTTTGTCAAAGAATACAACCACTAACCAACAATCAGTTGGTCTATGGAATGATGTATTAAGTCCCTTAAATAAGGTCAGGAATTCGAATCTTAACGTTTGCGAATGGAGTAAACTAGATTAGGAGGGTTGTGAATGCAGCTAAAGTATGGGGAACATAAACTATTAAACTTTATTTTAAATGAATATGGGCAAAGCTTTATTTATGTTTATGAATACATTTATTTATTATTTGATTATTGTATGATTAGTAATAGTTATTATTTGTATGCTTATTTTATTTAAAATATAATTATTAATATTTATATTTGATTGTTTTATATAAAAAAGGATAATAAATTTTTAAATAATCAAACATATTAGGTGGATATGATCATGAATAAGTTTATGATTCAAAAGTCAAAACATGGGTCAGTAAACCGTTGACTATGATTTTGGAATAAACAGATATTTTAGGATATGTTCATGAACCTAAAGGCTAAAACTATCAAGTTGTTCTCCCCTCAAATTGGTCCTATACGAATGGGGTTTTGGATAAAATCTTTTAAACACGTACTTTCTTTTTAATAATTCGAGTTAAATACAAATCAATATTTGTTAAAAAATGACTTTTTATTATTTAACATTAAACGTTCACATCGTTGATATTTTTTATGCTCGAATATAAAACATCAAAGAATAACAATAATTCATTTATTACTGAGAATATATATATATTTGTTTATAATTATTTTTCAATCACATCTTGAATGTAACAAAATCTAATGTTTATTAAACTTGTGCATACGTGTGCTATTAAATTATAGGTTCATATATTGATAAATTAAAATTGGATAAAATGCATAGATAATTTCTAAATTTTTAGAATATTTATAATTTGATCATTAAACTTTTAAAACTTACATTATGATCACTAAATTTTTAATTCGTTACCATTATGATTACTGCCTAAAGTCGTCATTAAAAACATATCGACACGACACGTTAAATTTTATTGAATTTTTTGCTAAGAAATTGTAAATTGATAAGACTTAATTATAAAATAAGTGCTCAAATTATACCATTTTTATGAATAGGTGCATAAACTATTTTTTATGACTCAGGTGTCTAACATTACAAACGTTATCACTTTAGGTGTCCAAGCCTTAACTGACATTAGTTTTTTCCGTTAAGCGACAAATGTCACATTTAAGTAATTTTAAAATGTATTTATTTTTAAAAAAAATAAAAATATTATTATTTAAAAAACCCTAATTTCTCTTAACTTAAAAAAAACCCTACAAATCCTAAATCCCTTATCCTAACCTGTCGCAACCTTTTACAGCCACGACTACCGCCGCCTATGTACTCCGTGCCATCCTCCTAATCATACGCCATCGTAGTTGTTGCCGTTGGCCATCGGAATCGCATGGGATAAAGATTTTCATCCTAGAGTTCGCAAGGTACAAATCGTCAATTGGTTGTCGATTGGTCACAGTTTCATAAGGGTATTGATCGTCGGGGGAGATGAGGTCGAGTGGAGCTTCATCAATAAAAAAGGACAAAGGCCGGAGTGAGTTTAGGGGTTGAGTTGAAATGAAGGTTTTCAAAGTTTTGAAAATTATTTTTTTAAATATAATTTTAGTTTTTTAATTTTAAATATTTTTTTAAAAAATTACCAGAATGTGACATGTGTTAGTTAAAGAAGTAAATTAACAGTGTTTACTGCTCAAACACCTAAAGTGGTAACGTTTGTAACGTTAGACACCAAAATCATTCAAAAAATAATTTAGGCATAAATTCGTGAAAAGCGCTATAGTGGGCACTTATTTTATAGTTAAGCCGATAGATAATGTTAAAGAGCACGACACAAATTTTCAAATATTAGTGTCAAAAACACAAATATGTACAAACATAAATGAGCTTTTGTGTAGTTTACGCTAAAAATAAAGAACTCAACATTGCGTTTATTGGCAAAGAAAATACAGCGTTTTGCTTTCTAGAATTATATTATATTCGACTTCCCTCTCTTTTTTCCCTCCACTCCAAATCAGTTACTAAAAACCTCTCAGTGCCGTTAACCCGCAGTTCACTCCGGCCCGATTCATAACCCCAAAATGACATCGACGTCGGAACTTCAGTCCGACGGACTTAATGACAGTCTCAGACGCGTGGCTGCCGATCTTTACACCGATAATCAAGCGTTTGTGGCTGTAGGTTATTTTCCTCTTTCTTTCCATTTAAGTAAAAAATGTTCTGTTTTTTCAAGGTTAAATTTGTTCTTTTCAGGAGTTAAGGAAAACCTTGAATTTGATGAAGGATGTCGCTGTGGTCTTGGAGAGAAAGAATCAATCTGACGTGGTATTATTATATTAACTTCATTTTGTGTGATAATATTTTCTCTCTAAATTATACATTTATCTTTCCCCCCCTTTTAGATACTGGAGACATGTAAAAGATTACTCGAGGTATTATTTTTAGTTTGTTTCTGTCCTTTTTGTTGTTCTTGTTGGTTTCTTGCTGCTTGATTAACCTAGTTTGATGTGTTAAGAGAAGTGGGGAAATGTAGGATTCAAATAGGTTTAATCTTGCTCCATCACCCATAAATCTAAAACCATTGTACTTGTTATGTAAGAAGGAAGTATTGAATATTTGAAAAGAAAATAAAGAATTAAACTTTTTCTCTAGTGAAGCCTGAAAGATGCTCCGGATGATTAAAATTATTACATAAGTTTTCTTTTTATCAAATGTCTGGTTTGTTTGTTGTGATATCAGTTGTTACTACAGATTCTTGATTGCAGAGGATAATAAAAGTAACATTGAAGAATGAAATGAAATATGCTAAAAGAATATCCAATGCTTCAGAGAAATGCGACTTGAAAACCATAAGTTCAAAGATAATCAGAATTCAAAGTGTTTTCTGATACAGTATGGTATTGGGAATTCGTTTTGTAGGCGAAGAAGATAGAAATTGCTTTCGCTAAGATGGTAGAAACTCGTGAAATCTGTCTATGTCGTTCATCAGCCATTCGATCCATTGGAGAAGCATACCAACCAGGAGTTGAGGTGCACATTTAATAATATTTCCAATGGTTTAGTACTGTTCTATGTAGATGTGAATTTACTGAATTTATGCCATTTGTTGTTTGCATGTTTTAAACTACAGTTAACTGATATTGAGAAGTCGATCGAGACGGCGCTTGAAAAGATCAAGGCTAGTTCATCTTCATGTCCACAGAATCATCCCCTGATGCATCAGTTTCAGCAAGCTGTCTGGGTATGTTTTTTGAACTCATCAAGTCACTTTTAAATTATTTAGCATCAATCTGAACAGAGGTAGCTAGATCAGAATATAGACCACTTCATGAAGGAGGTGCTAATACCATGTCAAGAACCACTGAACTAAAAGCCAGACGCCGGTGTTATTAGATATTATGTGCCACTCCATATACCAATGTTTATCTTTAAGCCTTTTTAGTTTTAGTGGTAATATGATAATAGATAAAACTGTTGTATATCATCATTCAAGTGAGGCTTCTTACATATACAGTGTTGTTGAATCTTCTGCAGAATGTTCATCATGCTGGACAGCCAATGCCAGGTGAAGAGTAGGAGGATATTGTTATGACCAATATGGAGAACAATATTAAAAATCTTAAATGCCCGATCACCAGAAAGCATATTGCAGAAATAACAGATCCAGTTCGCAGGTATTGTGAAGTTAATTTAAAAAGAGATTGCCGGCGAAAAATCATATTTCTTTTATGTTCAAGTGATGTATTTTTCTCTTAGGGGGTTTCGAGTTTAGAAACCTGAGCATGCATCATGATGTATATTTCTGTGTCCATTCTTTTGTTTCAACCTACAACCAGTTTGTTTATCTTTGTGATGCAGCTTGGACTGCAAGCACATTTACGACAGGAATGCTATTCTGAACTTCATAGAATCCAACCATGGCAATGTCAAATGCCCCGAATCAGGTATACACTACTGATTCATACCGGAATTATTGATTCTTTACAGCATTCTCATTCCTGACAGTTTCGTCTTCTATCAGCTTGCCCTAAGATGCTGCAGGCAAAAGGAGTCGTTTGCGATCCTTTGTTACTCTTTGAGATAGACGAGCTGCACACATTGAGTAAACAGCCTGCAAGAACTGATGTGATATAAGATTTCACAGAAACGGAGCCTCAAGATGAAGAGAATCCATGATGAATGCCCTCTCCTGGCTGATTAGAGTCCCTCCTTTATATGGCCTTGATGCATATAATTGAAAGTGTAAAAGTATGCATATGATCGCTTCCAATGTAGTTAAAGATAAAACCAAAGAGACAAAAATCACGCCCATGATTGAAGGAAATATCTGCACGAAAAACCGACAACTCCAACCATCGTTGAACTTCCAAATCAACAACCGAAGAAAAAAAAACCAACAAAAATCTTCAGTTTCAACACGCAATGAGTTGTTTTCCAGTTTGTCTTATATGAAAAACAAGCCATTATTTTCTCTTATTTATTCCTCGTAATCCATGACCAAAAACACCCATCACATGGCAAATGAGCTGTGCTGTCAAAAATGACAGCAAAATCATAGCCTGTATATGAATATAACACATAATGCTCAGCTCAGCTCATCTACCAATCCCAATATAAAATCTGGGTTTCTTAGCTGTGATCTCGAAAAGCACATGGCTACCTTGCCCACATGGCTTTTCTTAATCAAATTCCTCCAATAGATGACATGATAAAACGACGGTAAAATGCAAAAGTATCCCCTTTGTCTGTCTTTTCTTGCTTATGATACTCAGTTTGCAGTGACGGAGAAAGTTGAAGCTCTCGATCTTTTAGAGGAGTCCAGGTTTTTCGAGAACTTATTCGATAGGAGAAGAAGGATGTTAAGATTTTATTCGGATCCTTGTACTTCACCGAATTTCAGCCAGGATGTTTTGACTAAAGATTCATGTGAACAAACCGGCAATGGTTTGGTTCATGCACCATCAGTACCGCCCTGCATAGGTAGGGAAGAAGAGGTTCAAGAAAGGAAGGACAATAGTGGGAAGATCAAATTGAATAGGCAGTTATCAGTTCAGATATCGGAAATGATGTGTTCGGATCGTAAGATACATGAGATTGAATCGAGCGGACGTAACTTACTAAGAACACCTTCTTTGCCTTCTCCAAGGGGGACTAATGAGTTAACTCCGGATAATGACAATGATCTTAGAATGAGCAAATTGATCCGACAAGAAGTGGGTAACTCACCAAATATATTGCCCCCAAGGCACAGTCATAGCAAGGTACTCATCTGATCCTATATATATATATATATAATCTTTTTGCAGTTTGGCAATGTGGATTTTATTTTAATCTTATGCCATATGAATTTGCAGGCAATGAACTTGCAAAGGTCTAGTAGACCACCAAGAAACCAAGAAGTGGAAGCCATTAACAACGCGACCGAGGCCTCGGTCATGAGAGGACAGCATTTGAATCCAAACCGGATGCTGCGAAAAAGCCGTGGCGATCTTGCATTCCAAGAACTGCAAGGGTTCAAGGACTTAGGATTCACATTCGACGACGAAGATTTGAGCCCCCGATGTGGTTAGTATACTCCCAGGCTTTCAGGGAACTAAGATAGATGAGTTGGAGCAAGGGAAAGTGAGGAAGCCATATTTGTCCCGAGGCATGGCTCGTACAAGGCCCTGCACCTCCTCTTCCAGCTTGTGTAACTAAGAACTCAGTAGAGGATATGAAGGCACAAATCAGGTTTTGGGCCAGAGCTGTTGCAACTAATGTTCGACAAGAATGCTGAGAATTCATTACAAAACTTGACATTACTATTTCTAATCTAATTTTTCCAGTTTCCCAGATTTTATTTTGTTATCATTTAGGACTGATAATATATTATTTCCCCAGTGTTCATGTTCCAAAGGTAGCCAATAGGAGAAAAGTTCTTGTCCGATACCAAGACAGATATTTGTAAATATTTTGTTTAGATAAATATTTTTAAAATAAAATTTGACAGATTGACATTGTTATAATTCGAGTTGAAGATAAAATCATAAAACATATATTTTTCAGAATACAATGCTTCAAATCTAGATCCATAAATGATTTTGATAAGAAACAAATTTCTCTAAAGCTAAAACCTTTAAAAGGAAAACCCTCTGCTACAAATGCTTCTATCTCTCCATTTCCTGTCATCTTCTTCCCCTTCTCTCCTCTCCCTCCCTCCCCTCCTCAATCCATCTTCTTCCCCACTCTTCCTTCTCCAAAAACCCTGTTTTTTCTCTCCTTTCTCTCCCCACTCCAAAGTGCACCTTGGGTCTTCATTAGTTCAAGCTCAAGGATCCGTGACCACCATAGCAGAAGCAGAAGAGGAAGAAGATGGACCTTTTGAGCTACCACCATCTTCCTCTTCTACTTCAGTCTTTGCAACAAACGATGACCCCACTCCCCTCCAAACCGCCACCAGTGTCTTGCTTACCGGTGCCATCGGGGTCTTCCTGTTTCGCTCCCTTAGACGCCGTGCTAAGCGTGCCAAAGAGTTGGTGAGTATCCACTTTGTTGAAAACAAAATTTTCCTAGCCTGTTTTGGTTGATTCTGTCAAATTTCTTAGTTTTAAGAATTGGGTTTTCCTTATCTGGTAATTTGAATTGGAATTTCAAGTTTAAACTCTCAATTTCCGATTAAAGGTTGAAAATTTGAATAGGGCTGGATATTAAAGAGAGTAGTTTTCTTGTCTCTAGAAATTTAGGTCATCAGGGGCACAGAAATCGTTGAAGGAAGAGGCACTAGACAACTTGAAAGCAATGGCTTCAACTTCAATTGATACCAAGTCATCCACACCCTCAGCAGTTCAAGCATTGTTGGGAAGCATAGCTGCTGGTGTCATTGCTCTTTTTCTTTACAAATTCACCACAACCATTGAGGCAACTCTTAATCGTCAATCGATTTCCGATAATTTCTCGGTTTGTAGTTGCCTAACTCTTTGAGTTTGTGAGCAGTTTATCTATGAATTTACCTTATACTTCTTACAGTATTTGCCATTTTTCTTTACAATTTTTCATCTTTTTGCTTTGCAGGTTCGCCAGATATCAATAACAGTCAGGTAGATTTCAACTAGTCCTCCATTTATTATGCTCCTACCTGTTAATATCTGTAGTTTTCAACCTTTATATGCTTCTGATTTGCAGGACTATTGTGAATGGATTGTGCTACCTTGCGACATTTGTTTTTGGTATCAATTCTCTAGGCTTATTCCTTTATTCTGGTCAGCTTGCGATAAATTCGATCAAGGGAGGTGCCACAAATAATGAAAACAAGAGAAAAGGTGAGGAGAATGTAGGCTCACCGAGTTCAGTGAAAGAAAATGTTGCAGACGGTATCGAATCGACCAGCGGGAGGGAGGATCAAAGTCCGGGTGACGAACAATGATGACAAGTTATGTCCGACTTTTCATTTTTGTAAAAAAGTATGTGCTTGAAAGATATCGGAACATTGATACGATCTTCCAAATGCAAAATCTGAAACTGATATCCGAGTTCGAGTAACATCGATCCATGCAGCCGATGCCTGATAGTGGAAAATTTTGTTTGTGGTTTTTGCTTAAGTGCTACTGCAGATAGCTGTTTGCTGAATATACACAATATTCAGGTTTATCAATCTCCATTCAAGGTTGAATATGCACAACTCAATCCCAGTTTCATCCTTTATAGACCCTCCAATATGCCAATAAACCATGCAAACACGAACAATTAACCATTTACATAATGATTCATGTATTTCACATATTGATTTTATAAAATAGTAAGTTGAACTTGTTAGTGTCACTCTCATCCATTAAGCTTCTCAACAAGCTCACATTGCTGCAAAAATATTGTACCGTGTAATCACTGTATTATAAGTAATTTCTTTTGGATTGTTGTAATCTCGAAAGTAGATGTTTGACATAGTATTTCAGATTTCATACACTCGAAATAGGAAAACGAAACTCGGAATAGTGATGCTATTTTCCCAACAAGAAAAAGAAAACGAGATTTTTAACCAGCGTAACTACTATCAGAAAAAGAGAGGTGCAAGAATGATGTAAAACAAAATTGATGAGTTATGACTAGCTTTGTTAAGGTGCAATGTAATGTCAGTCATGGAATTTCGTTCGAGCATATTGTCACGGGCCGTGATATTTGGGTCCGGAACATTAGCGTAAGTGTCTGCTAAAGAGGTTCTATGCAGAGTGTGGGCTTGCCAAGACCACCAGACTTGACCCGTCATTTGAAGAATGTTGTGGAGCCCGTTCACATTGGCCGTGCAGAAAAAGAAACTGACATTATGTCCGAAGATGATCACAGGAGCTCGGTAATTATGGCAAGAGACAACAAATCAATAGAGATTATGGAGGATTCTTACCACATCCAGTGTGAACGCTTATCAAAGGAAATAATTCTACTAATTGATGTAATTAGATATGATGGGATTGAGTTTCCATAGTTAAGATAAGATCTTGTAGATAAAAAATAATAATTTGGGGAATTTAAGAGATTGTATTCAATCTGGGCCGCTGATGTAAATCGATCATAGCCATTAGTTGAGAGGGAGCTCAACTATAAATAGAGAGTTTCTCCTCATTTGTATCCATTCATCCATTTATTCATTTATTCATCCATTCTCTTGGGAGAGAGTAATAAAACTCTGAGACAGTTACTCTAGTTCTTGTGTTCTTTGTTCCTAAATCTCTGTGTTGTTGCCTCTCTTGGTGGCTAGGAGTAGTCACGCTTGTGTTTGCACTTCCACACCATAGTCTCGCCATAGTCCAACCTTGGCAGCTTGAAGTAGCAATGTTGGTGTTAAAGCTTCTGCATCCTAGAAGCCTTGAGGGCTTGGTTCCAACCTTGGTGAGTTTGTATGCTCACTAGGCTTGAGTAAAGCTTACTCTGTTGCAGAGAAGACAAGAAGTGTCAAGAAGCGTCTAAAGTTGCACGTCCCATCAAACTTTAACTCTGATATTGCGATAGATTGGGTTTAAAAGTCATGAGGGAGTGACAATATTCACAAACAGGTTTAAGCAGATGGCCGGTTCAAACTCATGAGTTGAAGCATATACAAAATCAGTAGAAGCATATTCGTTGAAAGTAACAAACCTTAAGCAAGACTGGAGTTATATGCAGTGGCATCAACTGAGTGCCTTACGCATCCAAGAAAACAACCAAAATAAAAAGATGATACATATATATATATATAGCTTAATTATAAAATAAGTGCTCAAATTATACCATTTTTCATTAATATGTGCCTAAAGTATTTTTTTACTCATCTCGGTACCTAGCGTTACAAACGTTATCATTTTAGGTCCCTGAAATCCTTAAGTCCTAACCTTAACTCGTCGTCGTAGCACTTTCTGGCCACGATTATTGTCGTTGATGTAGCTCTTATCATCCTCCTAGTCATACGCCGACGTAATTATCGTTGATTGGTCGTTGGAATCATTATTTTCATTCTAGGGTTAAACCGTCGATTTTTCGTTGATCGATCGACGATCGGTCACGAGACTTTTGGTCGTCGGTGGAGGTGAGGTCAGGTAGAGCTTCTTCGACTGCAAAGTGCGGCTGTCGGTGAGGGTTTAAGGGTTGAAATGAAGGTTTTTAAAATTTTGGAGTTATTTCAATTGTGTTTTTTAAAATATATATATATAATTTTATTTTTTAATTTTAAATAAAATTTTTAAAATTATCAAATTGTGACACGTGTCATTTTACAGAGGAAATTAATGTCATTGACGGCTCGGACACCTAAAATAGTAACGTTTATAACGTTTGACACTGTGATGAGTAAAAAATACTTTAGATACCTATTCGTGAAAAGCGGTATAATTTGGACACTTAATATATATATATATATATATATAATTTTTTAATTTTTTATGTTTAAAATTTCAATATTTAAATTCAAGTCTATAATATAAAATCGTGCCTCTGTTCCTATAATATAGGATGATGATCGACTCAAGTTAGCTTGTAATAAATGATTGGAAGGACTCAAATTTAATAATTGTATTATAAGTTTTTAAATTTTAATGATTAAAATACATTTTTTTCCAAAATATCGGTGATTAGTTGTGTAATTTACCCTAAAAAAGAAAACAAACTCCCCACAAAAAGCTAACGGGGGGGAGCCCTAGTTAAATCCTCCTTTCTTGTTTCTTCTTTAGTAGCTCACTTCACTCCGAGCAGCAGCACCATTTCCGACACGGACTAAGCAGAACAGAGAAGAACCCAAAGATGAGCTGCTGCGAAACCTTCACTTCTTCTTCTTCAACTCACCATTTCTCTTCTTTATCCATATCCATCCTTCCCAAATCCTTTAACTTTCATCCATTTTCCTTCATTTCCAACCCCAACCGCAGCTCTTTCCATCTCCGTTCATGGCCGCTGCAACGCCGCCTGTATCCCACGCCAGCCAAACGTGTCCTCGCCCAAGCGAGTCTCACAGCCTCCGCGGAAGAAAAGGGTCTCAAACTAGGCAAAAGGACGGATTTGAAAAAGATCACGATCCTTGGAGCCGGTCCCATCGTCATCGGGCAAGCTTGTGAGTTCGATTAATCGGGCACCCAAGCATGCAAAGCGTTGAGGGAGGAAGGGTATGATGTCGTTTTGATCAACTCGAATCCGGCTACCATCATGACCGACCCGGATTTGGCTAGCCAGACTTACATAACTCCCATGACACCGGAATTAGTCGAACAAGTGCTTGAGAAAGAACGTCCCGATGCGCTTTTACCGACAATGGGTGGCCAAACCGCCTTGAACCTCGCCGTGGCTTTGTCAGAATCCGGGTCCTGGAGAAATACGACGTGGAGTTAATAGGAGCGAAGCTTGACGCCATCAAAAAAGCTGAGGACCGTGACTTGTTCAAGCAAGCTATGAAAAATATAGGTATAAAAACTCCACCTTCAGGGATAGGGAACACTTTAGATGAATGTTTCCAAATAGCTAGTGAAATCGGAGAGTTCCCATTGATCATTAGGCCAGCGTTTACTTTAGGAGGAACCGGGGGTGGGATAGCTTATAATAAGGAAGAATTCGAGGCTATTTGTAAGTCGGGTTTAGCTGCTAGTTTGACATCCCAGATTTTGGTTGAGAAATCGTTGCTGGGATGGAAAGAATATGAGTTGGAAGTCATGAGGGACTTGGCTGATAATGTTGTGATAAATTGTTCAACTGAAAATATTGATCCGATGGGAGTGCATACTGGGGATTCGATCACAGTGGCGCTGGCCCAGACCTTGACTGATAAGGAGTATCAGAGGCTGAGGGACTATAGCGTTAAAAGTATTAGGAGATTAGTGTGGAGTGTGGAGGTTAAAATGTGCAATTTGCGGTTAATTCCGTTGATGGTGAAGTTATGGTCATTGACATGAATCCGAGGGTTTCAAGTAGTTCTGCCTTGGCTTCAAAAGCTACAGGGTTTCCTATCGCGAAAATGGCTGCTAAGTTGTCGATTGGGTATACTTTGGATCAAATTCCTAATGATATTACCAAGAAGACTCCAGCAAGTTTTGAGCCTCTATTGATTATGCGGTGACTAAGGTGAGGAACTTGTTACTTTGCCTCTTTGGATGCTTTTGTGGGTTTACAATGTAGATAAGAATGCACTGGTTTATTTTGCAACAATAAAAACTCAAGAGAATTGTAGTTTCCATATTTAATGCTTAAGACCATTCATCTACACCATCATGATGCATCTCATTGAAGGAACAATAGATTAGAATATTCATTTTGTGCCGAGATTGAATTAGCATTCATTTTTTTAGTTTACTTGCATGTGATTTTATATAACTTAAGGGTTCCTTTTGTTTTCCTAAAACCTTTCATCTACAGTAATGATGCAGATCCCACGGTTTGCATTCGAGAAGTTCCCTGGTTCCCCACCAATATTGACAACTCGGATGAAATCCGTTGATGAATCCATGGCCCTAGGCTGCACATTTCTGGAATCCTTTCAGAAGGCAGTCCGATAACTGGAATGTAGCTACTCTGGATGGGGATGTGTTGAAATTAAAGAACTTGACTGGGATTTGGATCAGTTGAAGTATAGTCTGAGAGTCCCCAGCCCAGAACGAATCAATGCTATATATGCTGCAATGAAGAAAGGGATGAAGGTAGATGAAATAATGAGTTGAGTTTCATTGACAAATGGTTTCTCACTCAGTTTAAAGAATTAGTAGATGTAGAGCAATATCTATTGTCCCGAAGTTTGTCTGATCTGACAAAGGATGAATTTTATGAAGTAAAAAAGAGAGGCTTTAGTGATAAGCAGATAGCGTTTGCTACCAAGAACTCAGAGGAAGAAGTTCGGAAAAGACAATTATCGTTGGGAGTTGTTCCAGCATATAAGAGGGTAGAGACTTGTGCTGCAGAGTTTGAGGCCAATACTCATTATATGTATTCATCTTATGATTTCGAGTGTGAATCTGATCCTACTGGAAAGAAGAAGGTTTTGATCTTGGGTGGAGGGCCAAATTGTATTGGTCAGGGGATTGAGTTTGACTACTGCTGATGCCATACATCATTTGCACTTCAGGTTTGCATCCCCTGTTTCCTGTTTATGCTTCAACACATTCAATAATCTGAAGCCGCTTATGTCAATTTTAGTGTTTTCATCAATTTGCTGATTTCTTGTTTTTTCTGGCCAATCTCATTTTTGTGATTTTCCTCTTTGCAGGTAGCTGGTTTTGAGACAATTATGATGAACTCAAATCCTGAAACTGTATCCACAGACTATGATACCAATGATCGTCTTTACTTTGAACCCCTGACAGTTGAAGATGTTCTAAATGTTATTGATTTAGAAAAACCCGATGGCATCATTGTGCAGTTTGGAGGTCCAAAACCGCTTAAGCTCGCTCAACCCATCCAGCATTACTTAGATAAGCATCGGCCTTTAGCTGCCAGCAGAGCTGGGCCTGTTCGGATATGGGGTACATCACCAGATTACATTGATGCAGCTGAGGACAGAGAAAGGTTCAATGCAATCCTTAAGGAGTTAAAGATTGAGCAGCCAAAAGGAGGGATCACGAAGAGTGAAGATGATGCTCTTGCCATTGCAAAAGATATAGGTTACCCAGTAGTTGTTCGGCCTTCTTATGTATTGGGTGGCCGAGCAATGGAGATTGTATATAATGATGACAAGCTAGTGACATATCTAGAGAACGCTGTTGAGGTGGACCCAGAACGGCCTGTACTGGTAGACAAGTATTTATCTGATGCAATTGAGATTGACGTCGATGCAGTTGCTGATTCACATGGTAATGTGGTGATTGGAGGGATAATGGAGCATATTGAGCAAGCTGGGGTCCATTCTGGTGACTCTGCCTGCTCAATTCCCACGCAAACAATCGCATCTTCTTGCTTAAACACTATAAGGTCATGGACTACAGACCTGGCTAAGAAGCTAAATGTCTGTGGGCTCATGAACTGTCAGTATCACAGCTTCTGGTTAGTTTTCTTACGTGATGCAAATCCCCGTGCATCACGCACCGTACCATTTTTTTCCAAGGCAATTGGGCACCCACTGGCTAAATATGCTGCTCTTGTTATGTCGGGAAAGTCACTTTGTGATCTAGATTTCATTAAAGAGGTGATTCCAAAACATGTTTCAGTTAAGGAAGTTGTTCTTCCATTTGAGGAGTTCCAAGGTTGTGATGTTTTGCTAGGTCCTGAAATGAAAAGTACTGGTGAGGTGATGGGCATTGACTTCGAGTTTGCAATAGCTTTTGCAAAAGCTCAGATTGCTGCTGGGCAGAGGCTGCCACTCTCTGGCACGGTTTTCCTCAGCTTAAATGACTTGACAAAGCCCTATCTTGAAAGAATCGAAAATGCTTTCTTGGGGTTGGGATTCCATATTGTTTCAACATCCGGGACAGCTCACTTTCTTGAACTAAAAGGTATCCTCGTGGAACGAACTCTGAAAATGCACGAGGGGCGGCCACATGCTGGTGATATGGTTGCTAATGGAAAAATCCAGTTGATGGTTATCACGAGCTCGTTCAATGCACTTGATCAGATTGATGGTCGGCAGTTGATGAGAATGGCCCTCGCTTACAAGGTTCCTATAATAACAACCGTTGATGGAGCTTTGGCAAGTGCCGAAGCAATCAGAAGCTTGAAGTTGAGCACCATTAACATGATTGCACTTCAGGACTTCTTTGATACCGAGACGGAGGAAGGGCAGAGCAAAAATTTGTTGTCTACTACATCTCTATAGATTGGCTAGGCATTTCGGGGTAAGGCACTCCCCTCTTTTTTCTCCTCGATGCTTCCTTTAATATGATTTCAGTCTTTGCTTGGGATAGAATTTCTTGCTGTCTAATCTCTTATTCTGTCTAATAATCCGCTTCTGATGACGACGAATTTGAAGAATATAAGGTAGGGAGTACCTGTGGACTGCAAAATATATGTATAATAAGATGATGCAGTTTTTCAGGTGCTTGTATCTGTGTATTATCTTATACACATGTATGTAGAACCAAGAGATGGTTGAAAACTCTGAACTATAGCTGATTAATGAGTTATGATCAATATGATGCTACATCAAACCAATCTTACCGCTCAAGATTGATCTCTGATGGACCCTTTGCCTGTCCATAGGTAATATGCTTTCTTTTTAAAGACAAATTCATCCACAGTAATCAAAATCAAAAGACACTTTTTTTTATTTACTGTAACCCAAAGTGAAGAAACAGAGCAAATGCTGTTGTGCAAAAAACAAAGAAAAAGTAACCCCAGAGGCTAATTTTATTAACTGATTTACTCACAAAACTTCAAACTTTAGCACAAAGATATAAGCTTTTGAGAAAAAAGAAGTCTTTACTGCTTTCCAGTAAAGCTGGCTCATCAAAAGCCAATTCCGACCGACCAACTCCGAGTGCAGCCAGATTTAATCGGGTGCAAGCTTAGCTGGTGACCTCCTTGGTTTTGACTTGCAGCATCTTAGAACAAACAACTCGTGCCCTTTACCCGTCCACCACCACCACCAGCCACCTCGTACAAACAGCCCCACCGGACCCTCTTGCATTCTCTGTCTTCTTGAACAACTGTAGCTGCTTCTTGCCGTTCGTTGGGAACATCAGTGAAGCTTTGGCCACCTTTCATCCTACCGTTGGTTCTGAATCTCCTGGTAAGCGATGAAGAAAGAGAACTGTCAAGGTTCCCTTGCACGACCGGGACAAAATCGTTTTATTATCATTATTTATATATCATTGCATGATGTACCAATTTCAACATAAAAAAATTAAGATTTAATATTGATTTTCTAAAACATCTTATATATAAACGAATCATTCATTTAAGATAAATCAAGAGCCTAGTTTTTTTTTTCATATCATTGAGATAAATAACATATGTTATCAATTTTGTCTGCACTATTGAAAATCTAATAATTAACCATGCATGTCATTGAAGGACCATATTATCAAATGCACCCACTATACATATACATTATATATTAGTTAGAATGAGATTTGCGATTGTCTCTCACAATAATATCATCGAATTTATTTATTTTCTTTTAAAAATATATAATATTCTTATCATTATAACTAACACTTATTAATGACTAAACAGCCCCACCCCCCACCCCCAACACATATATATACAATTCTTACGAAAAGATCATAAAACTTGTTCATGTTCCCCCAATGTCCCATTCCCTAACATGCTGTGTTCCACATAAATAGAAATTGCAAGTTTATTTATCACATCAATTAAGACCAAAATTATTACCATTTAAAAAAAATCATGTATTTATATTGGTTCAACAAAGACCCCCATAAATTCTATCAAGTACCAGCATTTTTAGATGGTTGGACGAAGATCCATATTCCAAATGAACTGTTCAACTATTAAATTTCAGTAAAAATGAAGGGGACAAATAATTAAAAAAGAAGTTATGCTCGAGTATTTACATATTCCGACATCATATACAATAACTTTAGAGCATTTCCAAACAATTTTATGTTGAAAGGAACATTTAGAAGAAAAGGAATTCTCAAGTTATTTGTAATAAACTTACTTTAGTCAAGTTCCAGCACTACTTTACCAAGGATCAGTTTCTTGTCTTTAGCTTCATGAGCCTCTCTTACTCGAGTTATCGGAAATGTTTTTTCGACAGGTACAGTCAGCTTCCCGGCTTCTGACAATCTGCGTATCTCAAGTAAGCCTTCCGAGTCTGCCCTCATGTATATCCATGAATATTCTGCAAAACACCAAGTGATTGAAAGATTCGGCAGCTGATCATTAATGTCATGGGATACGAATCCATGTTTCGGAAATGCACGATTTCATGGTATACATTTATTGAAAGCTTTGAACTCTTAAACACACGAGATCAAAACATTGAATAAAGAACAAATCTTAGAATAATAGTCTTTTACCAGCATTCATCATTAGAATGGCAAAATAAGCATGGATGATGTACAAGATGACACACGTGTTAATGTCTTTGTAGAGTGATATTTCTGTTACGGACGACGCAAACATGATATACTGGCAAAATCAACAGAAAGGGAAATCATTAACAAGATTATATCTTCTCAGATGCTTTCTTATACAGATTTTAAATAAGCTCTGTTCATTTCTGAAAACTGTTAAGTTTATCGAGTGTAAGATGACAAATAAACCATGTACCTATTCCGTGAGAATATTTGTACTGAATCCTTTTCTTCCATAAAACAGCTGTAGCCACAGGAAGCCCAATCGGTAGTCCATACCTGTCGCTCAGCGCCGCTGCCTCTCCCTACAATGACAGGATCATATACGATCATATAAAACTAAACATCCGATAATTACATCGCAGCATTCACAAAACTCCCCTAACAGAAGTTCCCAGCTTGCAGCGCTGGTATAAGTTCTTAAAAGGTTTGTGCAAAGGCCATGATAAAATTCCAGGAGAAGTCCAAGGATTCAAAGAGTTGTAACGAACGAGAAAGGTATTTGAGGAAAAGAGAAGTGCCCTTCTAAGAACAACAATCATTACAAGGTTCCATCTCTCACCTGAAGTGTCATATAGTGCCCACCTCTATTCAAAAGATTGGTGCCCATTCTTTCTGTCTCGGGCACACCAATAGTGTCCAGGACAGCATCGAATTTTCCCTTAATTACTGATTCAATATCCTGAAAATAAGCATCTCATTAAACTCAAATCAGTAATCAATATACGGCAGAGCCAATTAGTAAGCACTCCAAGCAACCATCAATAACAAAATAACAAATCGCAATTATCACTTCACCACCTCGGAAGTATAATCAACAGCCTGCTCGGCACCTGCTGCCATTAGACGATTTATAGTTTGGTTTCCACAAGTAGTTGTAACAGGGCACCCTGCAGCAACTGCAATCTGAATAGCAGAAAAACCTACTGCTCCTCCACCACCTATTACTAACAGCCTTTGCCTGTTGAATGAGAATTTGATCATGGGAGGATACATGGCAACAGTTTCCCAGAAAAATTAGTTGTAAAATTCAGTTGGCATATTGTATTGTACAGAGAAATCGAGCAATTTCAGATTGGAAAAATATCAAAAGATAAAAAATAATAATTAAAAAAGTTAAAGCCAAAGATAACGAGAATCAAAATAACTATAACAAAACTGGGATGGATTATAATTTATCAGCCAGGAGAATAATGTTCGCGGAACTAGAAATTTGAGATTGCCATTCGCCATTATAGTAGAATCCCTTTTGAATCCTCTGACCTTTAATGACAAACTATGCACCTCAAAACTGATAAAAGATTTCCATGAACAAGTGCAAACAACTTATCGATGGTAAGACACTGTTAACAAAGCAAAAATATTTGACAACAATTCAACAAGATTCAGGAAATACATGAAAAACATTGCTGAAAAGGATGAGCATCCTAGAGATAGAAACATACCCTTCAGTTATCCTTGCAGTACATTTTAAGGCACGCCATGCAGTCAATGCAGCAAAGGGGATAGCACTTGCTTCCTACAACGCCCAAAACTAATTCTCAAGTTCGTGTTACATGACTATTAGAAAGTAAAAGGAAGGAAATAAACAATATTCTGTGAATTATGAAATCAAATATATGAGCAGAGTTGATTATCATCCACCAAGAGCTAACCAGAACCAATGGAAAACAAGTACTCATAAGTCACGCAAATCTACGCTTTCTGAAAACAATCGAAAGTAACAAATTATTCTTCACTGAGAGAATAAGTAAACGATCATATAGGTTACCGCATGAGTAACTGAAGCTGGTTTCGGAGAAACCTCGTCCTCCGAAAGAATTGCATAGTCAGCATATGTACCCCTCACAGCAGTTGGATGCAAAGCACCAAAAACTTCTTGTCCTACAGTCAGTGACTTCACTTGGGCACCAACAGCTGCAACTTCGCCGCTAACATCACGACCCAAAATGAGTGGCAGAAGTGGCTCAAATATGGAACGACCATAACCCGATCGCATCTGGGAAAACAAAAATTTTCGAGAATTTAAAGCAGCATAATTTTAGTTGCATAACTTGAAACGCAATTTGAAAGATTTTCGTTATATACAAACATATTTAGTTTCAATCTTTTTGAAGTTCTTGAAATTAGTTCACCAAATCTATACAGTTTCAAGATCCCACGACTCAAACATGCACTAAGAAATTGTATAGGAAAATTGCTTTTAAATTCGTTTATTTTTTTTTTGCACATTTTCATGGCTACGAAATAATCAACTCTAGATGAACCGAGGAAATTAAATCAATTCAAACAAATTAAACAAGGAAATCAATTAAAACACCCCTTCAACATGCATCGAGGAGATTGACTCGTATAGCTAATAACTCAACGGAAACCAAAAGTAAACAAGGGACTCGTTTCATTTTCTCTCACTTCCCCAAGGACAAAACAATCCAATTCAATAAACAAATAAAAAAATTACGATTACATTATAAAAGAAAAGTTCAACCCACTTACTCTGGTATCAAGGGGATTGATAGAGACAGCTCGGGCTCGAACGAGAACTTCATTGGGCTTAAGATCAGGAACAGGCACATCGGCTCGGAGCTCCAACACCTCAGGTCCACCGAACCGAGGCAGCAACACCGCCCTGCACCTGCTGACGTAGCACCGAATCGAACCCACTTTCATTGATAACTCCGAAACGGGTCTGGGTTTTAGGCTCTGAAGTTTGAAAAAAGCCATTCCTTTTCCCCTTTTTTCTGCTCAAATTTTCTGGGTTTCCGCTGCTTTCGTCTGTTAAAGAAAAGGAGAGACGAAATAAGAGTGAAGCAAAGGAGAAACGTGGAAGTGTTCCAGTCACGCAGAGGAAGTAGCTGCTAGTAAATGCCTAAGGGAGCGTGGAAGAAGGAGATGGAAATTGCATAAACAATTTTTATTTGCTTATTTATTACATAAATAAATAAAATAAATCAAAAATTCTAACCTTATCTAATTAAATCAAGACTTTGGATTTGCAAATTGATGTTTGTTTGACATAAGTGAATATAATATTATATTCTTATAGCATGAAACATAAATCAAATTGATTAATATATATATACATACTACTTATAATAATTATTCATTTGCCATTAATGAGTGTAAATAATATTATGTTAAATAATACGTACTTAAAGTGTATTTTTTTAGTTTAATGTTTGTTACAATTAAATAAATTAATTGAAATATATGACAACATTATTTACCAAATATGTGTTATGTTCAAAACAAAAACATGAATAAAAATTTAAAAATTTCACACAAATTTGAAGGACTAAATTAGAACTTTCATGAACTTTGTCGTAATTACATGATAATATCCCAAACAGAGAACACAAAGGGTTAGAATTTCAATGAGGGGCTTAGCCCCATTTGTAAAATCAGTGTCTGAACCTACTACTTTCCTCCGTGCATGTTTTGAGAAGCGCCACCAGTAGCAATTGAAATATTAGTATGTGAAAGACCTAGTGGAGCTGTCTTCGATTCGTCGAGATTCTTCTGCTTCTGCATTGTATCGGCTGGTGCGGTGGCTGTCAAAGGATCTGTGCTGGTTTTCTGCTGATCTGTGTTACTCAAGGCATGCAGTTGCAACAGCCTGTAATCGGTTTCGGGCCGGCGACAAACCTTCCTTAGAGGTACGATTTCCTAAGGGATGGAACATGCAAGACTCGAACAATGCAATATATATGGTTTGTGTGGGGCGTGTGTTGAGTGTTAAAACAATAATTGAATCATTAACTAATACCTCGGTCTGATCATGATCGTATCGCACCAAAAATCTACAACGACAACCTCTTACATCATGCCTCCGCCTTTGCGCGTCAAGGACATCAGCATCGAAGTAAAGGGCCTGATCTTTGCCTTCCTGAAAATTTTAAGAATCCAGAAAATGAATTCTAGGAAAAGATTTGCTTGAAAGAATATGTTATCTCGAGATTACTTGAATGCCATCATCGATTGGCATTTGTAAGTGGAAATCTACCTGAAAACAAAGTACAAGGTCCCCAGGAAGAACTGCAACACACTCGGATGCTTCACATGGGAGGGACCGTTGCCTGATATGCTTGCAAACATTAACCCACTCATCCTCCTCGGGTCCAAAACCAGCAAACCGAACCTGTACTTCCTGCAAAAGACAGCAAGGCATAATTGGAATCCTCTTTCTTGGATGCCAAATTTTGGTGTTCTTCAGTTGTTCATAATCCACTGAAAAGTTATAGAATAGCACCATCAGAACATTTTATTTGAAAGTGAAATGGAAAAAGGCATAACGATGACATTTCAAAAGAAATAAGAAGAGAATAATTAGACTGCGTAATCTATCATGCAATATTTAAATAAGCACTAGCAGTTGCATATTCAGTGACAATGGGTTCAAAACCTACCAGATCACCTGTTTCCAAATATCTATGGGCCAAAAAGGTTGCAACGTCGTACCTGAAAATTGGGGATTAAGAGAATTTAGTTGATCGCCGATAAATCATTTATCAGAGAACACAATTTAAATAAGCTGAAAGGAAGCTTCCGCCTCCAAACTTTTCAATCTGAATCGCAAACTTACCATGCACCATCCCTTGAAGATTTAGCTTCAAACTCCATGTAAGATTCTGACATATGCCTTGCTGCACCAGGAACTGGCAAAGAAAATGAGGGATATTAGTCTAAAGTGAGAAGACACAAAGAGGATATTTAACACTGCAAAGTACGGAAGCCTCCAAATAGAACTGTAGCATATTTAAACACTGATTAATCAGGCTGATTAATCACTTGCATGCAATGGTACGATTGTCAATGTTTTTGGCTTTTCGCCCCCTTGTACATCATAGATGTCAGATCTAATGCTCAACCTGTTAAAGAGCATTTAGGTAATATCTCATGTGTAGGAGTTAGTTCTTAATTTTTATGCTGACAATCACCCAGGAGAATCGACATTATCCACTAAACTTTAGATCAAACATCATGTTGTTAGCAGAAATCAATCTGTTAATTTGATGCACCTAGTGGATAAGAATATCTTTTCATGTAGCCATAATGTTAATAAACTTTAGAACGAACATCATGCTTTCAGCTGTGTTCTAATGTTTTTGAATCATGCATCTGGATAACTGTAGGTTCAAAATATGTGAAATGAGTTTGGTTCTCTTCCAGCATGTACTTTCCATAAACACGAGTTTCTCAAATATAGATTAGTGGCATCCCTCCCTAAAAAGTAAAACATTAACATATAATTAAAGAAAGAAGCAAAGCTAAAAGCAGAATGCACAGAATTCTCCCTTAATGTATCATAAAAATCTAACCTACTGATTGGTAATAAACAGTTTACACCTATGACAGACAATACAAATACCAGTACTCTTACGCATTACCTTTAAACACAAGTTTCTCAAATATAGATTAGTGATATCCCTCCCTAAAAAGTAAAACATTAACATATAATTAAAAAAAGAAATACAGCTAAAAGCAGAATGCACAGAATTCTCCCTTAATGTATCATAAAAATCTAACCTACCGATTGGTAATAAACAGTTTACACATAACAGACAATACAAACACCAGTACTCTTATGAACACGGGTAAAAAATGTGCACCGATGTTCTTCGATATTTCACATGAATAACGATGTAGTGTAAAGCATTCAATTAGCAATCCAAATTTGGAAAAATATAGGAGGCCTTCAAGACTTTGAAGCCACAACCTGTAGTAGCAGGCATAGCAGCAGACTTTGGAGCATTCATAGGGGGAGGCAAGGGAGCAGAAACAGATTGAGGCACATTTCTCAGAGGATTTGTATCATCACGAGGCATAGATGACACACTTAACTTCCCAGGAACCTTACTTGATTTTGCCCTAATTGCATAGCGCCTATTTTGGAACCAATTCCATATCTACACAAAACTTTCCAGAGTGAAGAACTCTAAATATTTCCTCATTACATGAAAAATGAAATTAAGTTCTTACTTGCTTAAATTGCACAACAATCCTCCCTTTCCGTTCTGCTGATTCACTACAAAAAAAAAATATTACTTACAGCTTCAAGTGCTTATAGGGAGAAAAGAACTATACAACATGCTACACAATGCTCCAAAGGAAATTATTGCACACCTGAACTTGTCGGACAGACTTACAAGGATCTCCCGAGCAGGCATTTGATTATGGTGCTCTTGAAGAACAGTCTCCATCTCCGCAACCTGGATATTGAAATTATTTATACGAACTCCCACTTTGCGCACATGGAAGAAAATATTCTTAACAAACAACCATACTCCTTATTTCAAATACACCACGATTTCATTAATACCTTCAGAAACTGGAATAATTATACTGAAATCTATTTAGAAGAGTTTCTTTTCATATAGTAAGAAATTATCGAAGCAGGCATATTCTCGTAAGCTCGTGCATCTCATCCATGCTGCAATTAAAAGGGTATTCCAAACTCAGAAAAATCTTGCCACCGAATTCGCCCCTTTTGGTTCTATTGCCACCAGGAATACTACCTAGTTGTAATTTTTAGTTAATCCCCATTAAATATTCCAATTTTATACTACTTTCCGGTTTTGGTGATACAGTCAGCGATACCCAAAGCCTTAGCCGGGGCTAATCCCCTTCCCACGCAAATTTGAGAGCGCGAAAATTAGCACTATGGTTATTTACCACACTGAGTAAGTTCTAGCAATAGTTAACACTATCATTAAAAAGAACAGAAAAATCTAAGCTAACTATTATTAAAAAGATCCATCAGGAAAACCTAATTAATCAAAGTAATCAAAGACAAAAATAGAAAACGACTTTAAATCAAAAATCAAGAAATAAACCAAATAAATCAAGCAATCTAACTGATCCGTTTGAAATTTTGAACCAAAAAGTCCAAACACCACCGACGAACATCCATATTCAAATAAATGCAATGTAATCGATTTTATAAAAAAGGGTACCTCAGTTTGGGTAAAACGGAAGGTAGGGCCACTACTCGGGAGCCGACCCATCTATTCCGACTCTCAACTCTCACTTGCGCGGGTTTTTTCTTCTGCTTCTTCTTCTCTCTCTCTCTCTCTTTTACTGTGTTTACGAGGCAGAAGAAGGACTACATTTTGTTTTGAAACAATTACTGAGAAATTCTGATATAAATATAAGGGTATAATACACTGATAGTCACCTAACTTTTTAAAAAGTGGCACTTCAATCACTAAATTTTTAAAAATTACATTAAAATCATTGAATTTTGAAATATTTTTTCAATCCGATCATTACTGTTAAGAATATTATTTTAAAAATATGATTTAAAAAAATATTTAACAATGTATTATGCATTAAAATTCAACTATAACTATTCCATTAAAAACATCTTTTGTTTGGGTTGAAGCAAGGAATATGTTTATAACAGAAAAAAAATATATTGGTTTCATGGGTTTTCTTCCAACAATGTAGCACAAACAGAAATCTCATTGCTTCCTCAGCATCGTCGTCGTATTCATCGTTGCTGACCCTTTCACATTCATCGATCCATTCACTGTATCTGTCATCGAAAAACCGAGTCAAGAAACAACAAAGTCGAATTATAATAAGCTCAATCTCCATTAACTGTATCTATCATCGAAAAATCGAGTCAAGGAATTCCGTTCAATATTGTTCTGGTGAGTGTAGTTTAATTTATCATTTAAGTTCAATTAATGTTTGTGCTTTAATAGATAAGGTTGAAAATGGGTGTGGGACAAAGAGTTGTGATGAAATTGTGTATAAAATATATTTCTTATCGTGTGTACTAAAGAGTTGTTACTCCTCATGGCTGTTTGGTTTAAGGAACGTGGGATTCTCATGGGAATGGAATATACATTCCCATATTTGGTTGTCCGGAAATCTCATTCCCGGTAATGTTTTATTACCAATAGTAGATTTTTTAGGGTAAATTACCGAGAATGTCATTACCTCCTTTTCCTTAGGTATTGTTGGATTACCGGCGTTTTGGACTAAAATACCCTTAATTTTTTTTCAAAAATATAATTCTTCTGTCATTGAATAATAAAAATTCTATGAAGATTAAATTACAAATTCATCCTCAAATTATTTTAAATTTACAAAAAAAAATCTATAATTAAATTTTTATATGAAGTTCAGTGGTTAAAATAAAATTTTACCCATTCATTAAACCTTTTTATATTTTCAAATTTGTAAAAAAATGTATAAATTTTATGAATTTAAATTTTTTAAAGAAAATATATAAATATTTTTCAACTTATTAAAAAAACAAATATATAATAAGGACAATTCGGTCAAATATACATTCCAATAATCTTTTATTCCTTTAACCAAACACGATAATCTTACATTCATGCTAAACCAACCAAACACAAAATACAACAATCATAGTAATCCTATTCCCTGGTAATCTTACATTCTCACTGGTAACCTTACATTCCGTGAACCAAACGCACTTCAGGCCTTGGATTCGGGCATCAAGAATGCTAGGGTTTTGAGCGTTCAATGTCAAATGATTGAGACTATTTTCGAACAAATATTGATTTGTACTTACCATAAATTAATCAAAAAGAATCATTAGAAATACAATTCGAAAAAAATAAAAATAAAAATATAAAAATATGATTTTATTTTAAATTAGTCCTTAAACTTTAAAATATTCTACATCGGTCCTTAAATTATTAGTATCATTCAATTTTAATCATGCCATTAACGTTTGTTGACTCTATTTGTTAAAAAGATAATGTTATTGATGGTCTTAAGAATTGAACATGCGATATTTTAAAAAATCTCAAGACCTTTAAAAAGCTTCTTTTTTTTTAAAATCATGAATTCAATTCCCATGCTATGAACGTTAACGAATTGATAAAAAAAAAATACTCCTACTGTCTCATAAAATATATACATTGTTGACTTTTTTGGCCAAATTTTTTATTTTGACTCATTATTTTTTAAAATTTATTATTGATAAAAACATAAAAAAAAATATTTTAAAAACTTTAAACCAAGTAGTTTTCAAATATATATTTTATAAAATTTAATTGTTTAAAATATTTAAAATAATCATGATCAAAGTTAAAAAAATCACTTTTAAAAAGTTAATAATTGACACTTTTTGGGACGGAGGGAGCATATTGAGGATTAAGGATTGATATAAAAGATTTTAAAGTTTAAGGATTAATTTAGATTATGGATCATAATTTATGGAGATATAAATATTTTAAAATTTAGAGATCAGTTTAAAATGAGGGTCAATGTTTAGAGATCTACTATGTAAACTCAACACGAAGCAAGCGATCTCGGTGGTAAAAGGAATTGTTGTTATTCCATGAAGTCTCGGGTTCGAGCATCAGGAATACCAGGGGTGCGAGTGTTCGATGTCAAATGGTTTAGATCTTTAATCATATACTGCCTTGTACTTACCCCAGATTAATAAAAAAAATATTGTGTAAATTCAACTAATTATTTTAATATCAACACTAAACTTATATATATCTCTATCCCAATTGGAGCGGATACAGTGCAAAATTCACAAAATTATATTTGTTTGTCATCCTTATTCTTGGACCCTTTGGTTAATGGCATAATTGCTTGTTTACTCCCTTTAAAACTTTAATAATTCAATTTATTCAATATTAACCTTTCAATTAAATAAAAATTACATTTTGACCTTTCTTAAGAATTAATAATTCAATATCAGATGTGTGGCACAATTTTTTTTAACTTCCATCTCCTCTAAATATTTAAATTCCATCTCGAACCCTAAGATAATTATGTTATTAATTTAAACATATTAGTAATTTTATAAAAACATTAAATAAATATATATATATATATATGATATTATTTTTTTAATATTATTTATTATTATTATAACTAATCTAAAATATATATTTTAAATATCAAATCAACAATATATTAAACGTTAAAGAGTGCTTTAATTAATTTCAAAAGTTTTTTCAACTCGTGCTTTTATAAATTATAGATTTAGACAAACAAACACGAAAAACTCTTAATTTTTCAGGATCTTTACATTTCAAAAATTTAAAAGTAACTATTTATTTACTACAAAATAATCTATTGTTATTTTAAAATAAAATAATTATTTAAAAAATATATTTTTTTGATTCATAATCAATGAAAATTATAAAAAAATTATAAATTAAAATTAATAAAATTATTTCCTATATAATAAAATATTTGTAGTTAAAAATAATTTCTCAAAATATGAAAACCTCTAATTTAAATAGGAATTTCATTATTGCAATTATGTAATAAAAGAATTATCAAATAATTACTAAATATTAATTATAATTTATTATAATATAGTCATTAAATTTTATTAAATTATTACAATATATAATTATTAAATATGTCAACTTTTTATAATTTAATAATTCCGTAGATACTCCATCTTAAAATTATTATTACAAATATTTTACTTCGCTGTTAAAAACAACCTTAAAAAATTAAAAAGGAAAACAACTTTGTTTATAAAAGTAGAAATCTGTCTCTCTCAATCTTTATTTTTATTTTATTTTCTCTCTTTTTATTTGTTCTAAATAAATATTACGTTTTTCAGTTCTCTCGATCGCCCGTTGTTTCTTTCCCCCCGTAATTTTGCTTCGATTCGGTTAGTGTCTCTGTTTTTTTTTTTCCCTTTAATGTTTATTTTGACAGATTTTTGTTTATTGTACGGGAATCGTTGAATTCTTAGGGTTCCGCATTGCCTGAATTTTTATTATCACGGTTTCGATCAACAAAGCGTTAAAGTTTTATTTCCTCCCCGTTATTTCTAGGTTGCTTTAAAATAAGCAGGTGTTCTCTTTCTGGGTGTGATTTTGTTGATCATTATAAGGTACGACAAAGTCAAACTGCCCCATCGTTTCTTCCTTTAATTTTCTTTTCTTTACGTTTTGAATTTGCATGCCGTTAAAGAATCTGGGTTGATAATGTTTTCTGAATACTGGGTATTCAACAATTTGACGACTTTTTGGAAATTAATGTATGTATTTTTTAAAATTTCTCGTCTTTAATCTTTTTTTTGGGGGTGGGGGGGGTGGGCGGGTTTCTTAGAGGTTATAATCAAAGGAGAAGCTTGTTAGGATGATTTGTTGGGTTCTCTTTAGGATTGTGTATAATTGTGAACCGAAAGTTGAAAATATTTTTGTAATCTTTTTGAAAATTTTATCAATATCTTCTTTTAAATGAACAACTTCAATATATTTATACATGAGAGTAAAATGTTAGAAATTTCCCCTCAGCTTCATATGGGCAATTCTGTTGGTTGAAAGTTTTCTATGATTGGTTATTATTTTGATCATGGTTATGAATTATTTCTTTTATTGTTTTTGCTTTGTTGATGATTTGAGGAAAGAGATTTATGATAGTATGTATGGGAAAATCATATTTGGAACTCTGGGAGCTGGGGAAAGGTCAAACAACAATTTTGTTTTAAGGGAATGCTTGTTTCCATGGAATTTAATATTTTTGAATCGAAATAATACTTTTTACTTGCTTTTGGCAATCTTTTTCTAGAATATGTTAAGCTGATGGAATATGAAATAGCCAAAAGTGGATTTGTTGATATTCTTTATATGTTTTGTTATTTTCCATCGGTTGAATGGTATATGCTTTATGTTTCTGGTTAACTAGGAGCATATGTTACAAAATCCAAATAAATAGATGAGAAGGTATTATTAACAAGTAATGCTTTGCATGCATGTGTTGCATTTCAGTTCTCAAGTTGGATAAAGGAGATACTTCTCATTTTTCTGGTTTAGGTTGAATATGGCCTAAATTTTCATTTCCTTGTATTCCTTTTTTATTTTTCAAAAGTTGTAGATTTACCAGTATTTTCATGTTATGTTCTGTTTTTATGTTTTCTTTGTATATTAGTTGAATAATTATATGGTTTATCATTTGGAACCAAGCTGAGTTCTCTTCTTCTTTTCATTCTGAAGCTGCAACAAATTGCAACAACAGTTTATTAGAACAGGATGGGCGAAAGAAATATGCTATGCCCTATTGATTTAGAAATGGATCAAGATCAGGGGTATCTGCATCCTGAACCCTGCATCTTTTTGAGTGGCGTAACGAACTACCCGTCACCTAATATCCAGATGACCATCACAGCTCCAGGAAGCACAACTAACCTTGATAGGCATCCCTTATCCGAGCATTATGACAACAGTATGTTCTATGCATTCCCCCAGTACACTGGTGTTCAGCATCATCATCTTTCCCCAAATCTTGATCTTGGTATTGGAAGTGCATCCAACTATTATGTTCCATATGCGGCTACACCATCCAGTATTCCTATAAATCATGGAATCATGGATCAGATGCCATCTTCCAGCAACTATGGTCCCATTGGATTGTCTGCAGATGAATATGCAGGAAATTGCCACTTCATGGATAACGTAAGGGGCTTGTATAAGACAAAGAATTCTGAAGGAATCCCCGGAAATTTTCAGCATTTTAATGCCTCGTCAAGCTCTGGTTCCTCGATTACACCATTAAATACTAGGAATCCTGATGGGGTTGGCATGGTGGATGCTGCATCCTTCGCTATGTCTCACCATAGGGGAAACGGCCCTCCACTAATTAGAGAAGTGGGATCTCAAAGGAGTGCGAGGAACAGATTAGGGGCAACTGCAGTGGATCCTGTTTTGATGCAAAATGCCAACCATTATTTTCAAGGAAACTACTTGGGTCAACCTTTTCCTCCAACTATGACAGATGGAGGTGCCTCAGCTTGGACTCAGGCTCCTAGTGTTCCTTATATGCATGGTACTTTCTCTATCTAAATATATACTCCTATATCTTTTTTATTTTATTTAAAGCAGTGTTGATGTAATTGAGATCGTGTAGGAATATGTTTTACCTTGAAACTGATTGCCTTTTACTTGTTTCTGTACAGGTAGCAATGGTGGTGGATCTATGGAGACTAGGCATAGAAGTTCCACAAATTTCTTACATTCTCCTCTTGACCCTCGCAACCCGAACTTCCATCATCCTGCACCACCTATCGAAGGAGCAAGAGGCCACAGCATTAATGTCCATCCGCAAGTACCAGCTGCTCCTTATTGCTTTCCTGCGAGTTATGCCTCACAGAGCACCATGAACCCCTCGCAGGATGGTTTGGCAGTTGGGCGTATGCATTTCGGACCAGTTCCACCTACTGGCTTTAGGATATATCATCCTTGTCGGGAAAGTGGTGCTTTACCTGAGACATCTCTGAGACACCACAATCTCCCTCACCTGAGAGTTCTCCCACCTGATGTAAGTACCGTTTTACATTTTTGCAATGCTGTCTTTGTTCATTTTCCGTTTGTTTTCTTTTCTGAAACTAGGATAAAGAAACTCATATTCATATATGCCGACACTTTTTTAGTTATATATATATGCTGATATCTTTTATTTGACTGGTTGCAGGGTGTTGCTGTGCTCGAGTTCCCAGAATTTTATGAAGAAGTTGGGAATCTTATTGATCATCACAGAGATATGCGCTTGGATATAGAGGACATGTCTTACGAGGTATGATGAATCCCGTTAAATGTTGTCATCTTGCATATTATATGGCTTTAGTTTTACCAACCATTTCCTTGAACTTTCCAATGACCACAGGAGTTGCTCGCTCTGGGAGAACGGATTGGCATTGTTAACACTGGTTTATCAGATGAAACCATCAGATGTAAATTGAAAACAAGATCATATTCGACATTTGCAACGAATATTAACCTGGAAGAAGTGGCACCTGTTGATCAGGAACTTGAATTTTGTACTATTTGCCAGGTAGTTGAGAGATCTTGCAGCTTAGCTCACTCTATTCATCGTCGAAAAGCATGAAGCTCACATTTTCTCTTTGTTCTAGTTTGAATCACACTTTATTCATCACGGTGTCATTCACTCCTAACATATGTTCCATATCTTGTGATTATGCAGGAGGATTATAAGAATCAAGAGAAAATCGGAACTCTTGATTGTGGGCACGAGTATCACGCAAGTTGCTTAAGAAAGTGGCTCCTGGTGAAGAACGTATGCCCGATATGCAAATCAGAGGCATTAGCCTCCTAATCCAAGGATGTATAAAACATGGGGGGCGACTTTTATCCAACAAAAAGTAGTGAACTACATAAAATGGTTGATGGTCTGTTTAAACCATAAATCGATATTTGCGAGTATTTTGTAAATGAAATTGCGGATATCTAGCAGGCAATCATTTATTTGTTGGCTCTGTAATTATCAACATTTGTACAGACTTCCATTATGCAATCTCATGCTACAATATTAACTTTTACCCATACTTTTCATTACCACAACAGAACTAGGATTCTACATTGGATTTATCCATTTTGTTCTGAAACTTGAGACTATTTTTTGACAAGATCTTGCAGAGCTTGGATGAAATTGTTGATATATATTCTTCTTGAAGATCTCTGTTGGAAAGTTTCTGCCTCAGCTTAGCATGGTTTGCCCTCAACATATTGGCTGTTTCATTGTCGTCATTCATCACAAACTCGATGGCTTGACTCAGTGATTCCTTAGAGACCCGTCTGTTTTCACCTCTCTCAACTTCAACACCGATCTTGAGTTCATTCACCATCAACCTTGTGTTCAGAAATTGATCCCCAATTTCAGGAATCAACACGATTTGGCAGTAGCTGAGTAAAAACTCCCACATTGTTCCATACCCACAGTGGTTCACAAAACACCCTATGTTTGGGTGGTCCTTCTTCAATAACAAAATGGTCCTGAAAGCAAAAGCATCACTTTCTACAATAGTAGTCCTTATCCTTCCATAAAACGACAGTCCACTCCCGAAATCCTCAGCCTTAAACAGCACTATAGGAGCCTCTTCTGCTCTGAATCTCACGGCGGAAGAAGGCCAATCAGGAGGCAACTCTATTTTTGTTGGTTCATGGGGACAGCAGATGTAGATTCAGCATGTGGAGGGAGGCCATCGACATGGGGAAGAAGGAGAGGGAAGAAGTGAATCAAAGTGGGGTATTGGTTCAAGTTTTCAAGCTTGGGTTGCACACCTTTTGGCAAAAGGAATGAAATTTGATGGCCTTTTTCAGCAAGCTTGTTTGAGAGATGGATGAAGGCGATTAAGTGACCATAGGCAACCCATGGAAACATGGCAATGTGAAGCTTTGAGTACTCGGATTTGCTCATCCTTTTTCTTCTTTACAAACAAGGTTGATCTGCAACTAGAGCTGCTAGAGAATAAAGCAAGGTGTTTTTTTTTTCTACAGCTTTTTTTGCCTTGTGCTGACAGACGTTTTTGTCCGTCAAAAAAATAATGCACATACTATCTATGGGCAGTTATGCCATGTTGGAGTCTAATTTAAGGTTAATTTAGGACAGTTTTAATATAAAATATTATTATATATAACTTAAAAAAGTATACAATTTGGAAGAAAATTTTTTTGTTATAACCGAAAATGTTAAATTACGACAAGTTTGGGGACAATAAAAAAAACTATACAATTATGATAGCTTCGGTTACAACTGGAAATGTTATTGGTAAAGTAATATTTTTGGTTTCAACCTAAAATATACTATTCACTTTAAAATTTACGTTATTGGTAATATTTTTTGTTAAAATCGATTTCTGTCATTTTTTAGCCTTATATTAACTTATTATTTAAATTTTATTTATTTTTGAAATTTTATTTAAACATTTAAGTTGAATAAAATTGAATATAATTATTAATTTTAAATTAAAATATATTCCAATTAAAAATCTCTTGAAAATCTGACTAAATTTTAAGCTTGAAGTAAGAAAATTTAGTAGGATAGATTAGGTTAGATAGTTAACTTATTTAATATTTGAATCTAACAAAACTTTAATTAACTCAATAATTAATTATTATACGATTTAATTTGTTTTTGAGAATAAATTTAGAATCTTTAAGGGTATTATATAATTTTTATAAATTTATGATAAGATCATATATTTTATTTATGATAAGATCATATATTTAGATCATTATCATAAGATGGATTAATTATGATGAAATATTTCAAAATTGATTAATATTTATATCGTCGTTTTACATAAATTATTATTATACATCATAATTATTAGTTTGATAATAAATAGTAAAATTTAATTATGATCATAATCATAATCAACCACAAAATAAATCGTTTAAAAAACAGAAACAATGATTATAAATTTGATACATATTTTTTCTAATCGGAACACGTGTCAGTATCTAATTTGGCAAATTTAACTTCAAACCCTCAATAATTGCTTAATTATAATTTGGCAAAGATTTGAGTGGGGATTGTCTATTTTCCAAGCCTACATACCATGGTTTTTCAGAATCGGATCGGTCAGCGAATCGGCCGTGCTATCGGGTCACTGATTCAACTGGTTGAATCAGTCGTAAGAATCGGACGACGTCATAATTATTTAAAAAATTAAATAAAAAATAAAAAAATTTAGGTTGAACCGATTCACGGTCCAGCCCGGTTCGACCGGTTCAAACCCGGTTCGAACGGTTTCTTGCGGTTCACTAGAACCAGTTCAACCAGGGTATAATGGACCGGACCAAGCAACGGTTCCCGGTTGAACCAGTCCGGTTTTCAAAACAATGCTACCGACATTGGCGGAAACTAAATGGGACTAGTGGGCCATGACACTCCCAAAATCTAAAAATTATAATTTAGATCCTTATTTTTTTAAAATATTTAATTTTGCCCCCTTAAATTTTTAGAAATTCATGTTGAACTTCAAAATTTTTGAATGTTTTAATTAAACCCCCTCCTATAATTTTTAAAAATTCTCATTAACCCTCTCAAAATTTTAGCTTGAGCCTAATTTTTTGGAAAAAAATGTAAACTAAACCCTTCAAAAAAAAAATTAAAATTTTAATATAAACCTCTTAATTTTTAATGTTTAAGTTGACTCACAATCTCTATCACCAAATTCCACTACTGTACCGACACCACTATCTTCAACTTCCTATATCCATTTGGTTGGCATTTTCCTCCATATTCAATGATATGTATGACTTGTGTATTTTGTCATGATCTATTTAAACAACATATTAAATTAGCTGTCATATAGGATATGGTGTAACTTGTGTATTTTGTTATATCAATAATTATTGCATCTCATAATAAATAAGCTGATAGCTGATATGGTGGATATGCAAGTCATATAGGATATAACTACATTTATAGATATATAATAAATAACTAATTTACCTCAATGGTTAAAAGAATCGTTATTGTTCTTAAAAGTCACAGGTTCGAGTACTAGCGATTGTAGCAAGGTGATTGAACGTTCATTGTCAAATGATTGAGAATATTTAGAACAAATACTACTTTCTAATCACCTTAGCTTAATAAAAAAAATAATAGTACAATGAGGAGTGTTTTTTTTTTGCTCAATGAGAAGAAAGTTTGAGGAAACTTTTCGACACTCGAAATGATATAACGATTAATCCGAACAGCAGCCGAGTTTCTTGATGGCTGAAACATCTTTGGTTCCGACATTGACGGTTTGTCCCTTAGGCAATGCTGCAGGATCATCCCCTACTTCGAGTGCTTTTCGACTTACGACATGGTAGATCCGAGTCAGCACTTCGGTGAATGCATTCTCTACGTTCAGGGACTCGAGGGCAGATGTCTCCATAAAGTAGGTATTTTCTTTCTCGGCAAAGGCTTTGGCATCCTCCGTGGAAACAGAGCGCAGGTGCCGTAGGTCTGCCTTGTTACCGACAAGCATAATCACGATATTGGAATCCGTGTGATTCCGTAGTTCCTTCAACCATCTCTCAACGTTCTCAAACGTGATGTGCCGAGTGACGTCGTAGACGAGCAACGCACCAACGGCTCCTCGGTAGTATGCACTTGTAATCGCCCGGTATCTGAAAAAAATATATATATAACGAGAAAACAACTATTAAAAAGCTTATGCAACATATCAAGCTTTGAAACCTCCAGCAATGGTAACACCTCGGCCATCCGACACCCTAACATTCGACTTCAAGGAGACACAACGCAGAACGTTCATCTCATGCTCTACAAGTTCTCAATGCTGATTCCATTTAATTCGAAAAGGCCTTAGGTCTCTCAATCTATAAATCAATGACATCTAAACCTTATACAAATGAAATTTTCACGGAAGCTCACTCTGGTATATCTACTCTCCTGGGGAAATGTTACCGAGACAATAATCTGGCCAACTATTTGCAGAACATCCGAATACGCAAGACAAGCCTTCATATAGGCTCGTGCACGATGCACAGAGTTAAAGCATAAACGAAAACAGGTCCTCCGAAGACGTGTAAAGATGTTCCGATACAAATCCAAGCATCGACGTTTACAGCTAAAAGAATGTCTTAAATTTCAGACATCCAAAGGAACTTCAAGACAGCACAAGGTTAACATACGGAATTCGAGACCGACATACCATAGATTGGATATACAAATGAAATCTTCTTCAAACCGAGACATTTAGATCAATACAGGAACCCAGACAAAAAATACCTACTTTTTCATCAAATAACAATCGAAGTCCACATGCTTTAACATAAAAGGAAAATTCTGAACGCAGTTTGCTCCAACATTTTCTTAGCAACCAAGCAGCCCAAACAAAGGAAACCCTAACCCTTAAACTTCACCAAACTAATCCTGTAGTCTAAATGCTCCTCCTTTCCCTCAAATCACTAATAAAAGTTCCCCCAACAAACACTTAAACAGTCAAGAAGCAAAAATGATAAGAGCCACGTGAATCTAATTTTCCTACATTTTCCCCAGCTACTAAACAGCTCCAAAATACCAAATACTCCAACTTTATGAAATAATTGTAAAGCAAAATAATAAAAAAAACAAGTTTTAAAAGATCTACCTTTCTTGTCCAGCAGTGTCCCAAATCTGTGCCTTGATGACCTTATCATCGACCCGAATACTTCGGGTTGCAAATTCTACTCCTATTGTGGACTTCGACTCGAGGTTAAACTCGTTTCTCGCAAATCTCGACAACAAATTCGATTTCCCAACACCCGAGTCTCCTATCAATACTAGTTTGAACAAATAATCGTAGTCGTCATCTGCTCTATACGCCGCCATTTCGGGTCACAGGGTCGGTTCTTTCGGATTTTGAAAAAAAAGATCAAGAATTTATGAAGAAAAAATTATCTGGGGACAGAGATCGGCGGAGATAGATTTTAAAATTGCAAAAAGACGGGGAGAAAAAAGTGGGTAAGGGTGAGGAAAGGGCATATGTCGGCTCGGGTCGGGTCAAGAATTTGGATAGGTTGATGGACCTTGTTTCAATGATCTCAACCCAAAAACATGCACACAACATATGGGAAATAGATAGATCCGAATCTAACGGGTTTTAATTTGACGCAATTTTATAATATTATTTAAAAAAATTAAGTTCAGATCGAATTGAATTTTTTAAGAGAGTATGACTAGATTGGAGGTTTTAAGAATGTGTTCGGATTAGATCGAATTTACCACCAAAGTCACTAAGTATATACTCGCACTCTATTTATTATGATGAAAATAATTTAATTTAATTTTAATAATTAGTTATGTCTGATTGTCTATCAAACAACAACAAAATTGTTGATTTCTTTTTTATTCTTTCTTGGTTATTGTTTGCATTTAATATTATTTTAGAAGTCATTAAATAAAATTTAAAAATTTAAAATTAAAATAAAATATCAATAATTGAAATTAATCGAATTAAAAATAAAAGGGATTAAAAAAACGAAACATATATATCACTACTCCTAAGAGAGAGCAACTAATTTTAAACTCTAAACTATAATCCTTATATAAACCCTTAAACCCTGAAGTTTTATTTATTTCTCAGCTTACATATGCAATGACAGTTCAGAATTTTATGTCGAGGGATACCTCAAGGCGAATGGGTCAGGCGCTCCCCTAAAACTTTAAAATCTCCATATATTTTAGATTTTTTTATGTATTTTCTATTGAAAATATGTTTTCTTCTCTCCTTAAATTCTATAAGTCCAAGATCGTCTCCCTTGAAATTTTAAAATTTTAAGTTTGTCTTCCATAACATAAAATCGTGCATCCATCCTTATTAAGAGATGGATTTATAAAATCTTAAAGAAGCATGAATGTATAAAAGTTAGAAAAGAAAAAAAAATATTCAATAAAAAATTAAAAATATAAAAAAAGTTTTAAATAAGACGTTCATTTGATTAGAGGTGTAAACGAGTCGAGTCGAGCTCGAGTATTGCTTAGCTCGACTCGACTCGAAAACTCTGAAATGGAGCTCGACTCGTCTCGAAAACTCGCGAGCTTAAAATTTTCAAGCTCGACTCGAACTCGAAATCCTGAACTGAAGCTCGTGAGCAACTCGAAATGAAGAAAAAAAATTCTTAAACTTAACTCGATTAAAGCCTCAAACTCGAACATGAACCTTAAATACATGAAATTTTACTGTAGTTTAAAAAAATAATACATAAATATTAATATTATTATTAATTTATTTTTTAAAATAAAATCTTAATATATTATATTTTCGAGCTGCTCACGAGCTTTTCGAATCGAATATCGAGTAGCTCGTTTAAGCTCCTTAAGAACTCGAGTCGAGCTCGAGATCGAATCGATTCCTTTCGATCCGAGTATTTATCGAGCCTTGATCGAATCGATCTCGAATAACTCGCGATCTGTCTTGCCTCATTTACAACCCTACATTTGATCATTCCTCCCTCGATTTATCGCTACCAACAAAGATATAAAGATGTATAAATTTTTTTATAAAAAATATTATTTTATATGTTAAACACAATATTAATTTTTCTACTTTCTATCTTATAATTAATCCGGCACTCCCTATTAACTAATAGGGATAGACAAAATAAATTCACCAAATGAATAGAAATTACAGGGGGGGGGGGAATGAAAGACGAGGTTGAGGCTGATCAGGGGTTACCTTATTTCATGATAATTTTCGAAAGAACGAACAAATATGCTAAAATGAGTCAGTCCTAATAGAGGGAAGAATCAAATCAGATGCAAAACAAACCAGGTTCACATCTCAGTAGTAACACTAAGAAACAGTAGCAAACGTTGCAAACAATTTGATTGGCAACATGAAACACAAGTCCAACGAAACGGAAACCATTTTTAAGCTCCAAGAGCCCACACGAATGTAAATTTAAGCTACAACGCAATCAGCTGATAAAAACTAAATATAACCGGGGATCGAAAAACCTGAAATCCACCCAGATTTCTCCTTCCCACGGCAATAGGCCATTGATTCTAAGTGACCAAAATCTTCCCTCGAACCAGTCTTTGACTCGTGAATCTATCACATTATCTCCTCATTGAGTTCACAGTCAACTGTCAACGATCGAATATCCACCTGTGCGAAAGATCAATCACTTAAATAAGCAGAAAAGCTTGTAAGTGCAATATATGGTATTCAAAACTATATATGGAAATAGAAAGAAGGCTAACCAAGTAAAGACTTTGGCTTTTCTTTGATATGATCAATGGCGAGAATCAGAAGAAGCAGAGGACAGCTTATTGGCGATGCTGTCGTGCTCATCTTCTTCGCCCTGAAATCGTGCCGGAATGCGAAATCCAGAGAATACACCAGGTGTGGTGAATCCAATGCCAGATAGAGCAGCTTGATGATGGATGTTTTCTGGGATTTGATTATGGTGATGCTGTTGGTCGGTTGTGGAAATCGGCTGGTCTATCCAAGCACGAACAAAGGGCGTGTTACTGGACTGAAGGGGTCCCCTCTGAGAAAACAATTGGCTGTTTTGGCCAAAAGAAGACGGCGGCATCGGATGCGATGTAGGAGTGCCAAAGAGAAATCCTCCTACACCACCACTACCGCTGCCGCCAGCACCACCGCCAGTATCAGCAGTAGCGCCGCTATTATTCCAGGCAAACAATCTCTGGAACCTTCCAATCTCCCCCGGATGTTGGTGGTGATGCTCCCATCCAGCAGAAGATCCATCAAAACCAGCTAATGGGCTGGTTCCAGATAATAAAACGGGTTCACTGTGCTGTGCCTGAGCTGCAGCAGCAGCTTGTGCGTGGTGGTGATGCAAAAGAATCCGCTCCGGGAAAGACTGAAGTGAAAGCCGAAGATCCTGACTGTGGCTGCTGGTCCTCGACAACAAATCCGGTGGATAATTCTGAAACTGTATGGAAGAAGACTGAGTCTCAGTCGAAGATCCCAATGGAAAAAAGGACTTTATAGTATCAGCAATCTCATCAGAAACTAAAGCAGGTGGAAGAAAACCCGAATTATTATTAGGGTTATCTCCCATTTCTTGTTGCTCAAGATTTTGAACTTCATTCCTCATTATTGTCGCCGTTCTCCTCCGAGTACCCGGCCCGGCAGCAAGGTTTTCCACGAGGTTTCCACCATGGTTGATGTGAATGGCGTTTTGTTCTTCTTCGTTACTAGGTTTAGCAATTGTTGTATTGAAGCTTTCTGGTTTCCAAGGAGGTAGCTCAGCGAGCTCGTCAATGGCGGGCTTGGCCTTTTTTATAAGCCAGTCCACGGCTTTGCTAGGACGGTCGTAGGCAAGGCGGTCCTGTACGTCGTAGAACTTGATGGCGGTGTGAGCCGAGAGACGAATACGTCGGTCCCGAGGACCTTTAGCAGTGCAAACTTTGCTGTGACGGTCTTTCTTTCCGGTTGCCCGAACAATGTGACCACCTTGGACCTCGACGATCTCCCCTCCGGCGTGCCTTATCCCCAATCTTGACGATGTTGCAGCTTGGTGGTGGCTGTCCCCCATTTTCCTTGCATGTTGGGTCGACGGCAAGTACGAGCGCTTCTTCAATGGCGGCGGGCACTCTCGAGTTTCCAGGCTTGCATACAACTGTTGCCCCTCTTGTTGCTGATGATGCCTTTGTGGATCCAGGCTCAACTCCTTGTGCTTTCCCTGTTCCAGCTTTTAATGGAGGACACACCACCAGCTCCCTCCACCAAGCCTCGCCAGAAACACTCTTAAAAACACCAGCCTTTTATATTTCCAGCCTAACCCATCTTCCAAAACTCGGCTTTTGGCAAATTGGGTCTTCTCTTTTATCTGTACTATTCTATTCAGCAACCAAATTACAGAAATGGGTTAGCCACCAACTTAACCAGGACAACCCAACAACAAAAACAAAGCTCTTTTCTTTCTCAACAAATATTTTCTCGGGAAAATACACTACCAGAACAAAAAGAGAGAAAAATAAGAGATTTTGTTAAGTGTTTAGGGGTGGGGCTTATAGCTAATAACTAGTATAGGGAGTAGTAATTTCACTTCTTTTCTTGGCCTGTACAAACCCTTGATGTTGATGATGATGCCACTGGTAAAGAAGTGGCAGAGTGTTTGGATGCTTTGTTCTGGGTATATCAGATTGAATGAATAGATCCTTTCTTTTTATATGCCACAATCAGTCTCCATTTTAAGACTTTGTTTTGATTAATTTATATCAATTTATATCATATATTTAATTTTAGTAAATAAATTTTTTAATATAAATTTTTTGTATGCATGATAATTCAAACTCGAAATTTTACTTAAGAGACATCAACCTGCTTACCATTTAAACCAACTATTATAGATCGTGATTTTATTATTTATTATTATTTAGATAAACTACACTTATGTTCACATAATTATATGATATTCTAATATTACCATTAAATTTTTAATTTTATCAATCATGACCACCTGCTTAAGTGATTCTTATCAAACCACCTTTCATTAATATTTAATGCAAAAATTAATGTGACAATTAATAATTAAATTAAAACTAAAATTAGAATCAAAACTATAATAATATCAATTATTGAAGGTAAAAATCTCATTTTTCCTGAATAAATTTTTTAAAACTCCATTTCCCTATTCTACTAAGAAGCAATATTCATTAATTTAACTGAACTCGCGAAGTTAAATATTCACTTTATTAATATATTTTAATATACATTATTATTGACAACATTATTTTTTAATAATTTCTTAATCAACTCAAGACAATGGCATTTTTGTCGCGTGTATGGCACTTATCTTTAGACTTTAATATCTTATGGTGTGTTTGGTTCACGGAATGTAAAATTATCAGTGAGAATGTAAGATTATCAAGGAATAAGATTACTGAGAATGTTGTATTTTGTGTTTGGTTGGTTTAGCAGGAATGTAAGATTATCGTGTTTGGTTAAATGAATAAAAGATTATTGGAATGTATATTTGACCAAATTGTCCTTATTATATATTTTTATAATATTACAAGTTGAAAAATATTTATATTTTTTTCTTTAAAAATTTAAATTCATAATATTTATATAATTTTTTTACAAAATTAAAAATGTAAAAAAATGTTTAATGAAAGGGTAAAATTTTATTTTAACCCCTGAACTTTATATAAAGTTTTAATTATAGATTTTTTTTTGTAAATCTAAAATAATTTAAGGATAAATTTATAATTTAACATTCGTAGAATTTTTATTATTCAATGACATAAGAATGATATTTTTGAAAAAAAATTAAGGGAATTTTAGTCCAAAACACCAGTAATCCAACAATATCTAAGGAAAGGGAAGTAATGACATTCTCGGTAATATACCCCCAAAATTCACTATTTGATAATCTTACATTACCGAAAATGAGATTTCCGAACTAACCAAACGAGGGAATGTCGATTCCATTTCCCCAATCCAAACACCCTCTTATAGTTAATTATTACATAATTAAATTTAAAAATTATTTTAAAAATTTTATAAAAAAAACAGTTGAAATTGCCATGGGGTATAGGTGTAGTCCCTTTCACTTATTCGCCGGCCATTCATCTTTTACGAATGAAAGCGACTACACCGTATCAATTTATCTGTATTTTTTACTGTATTCTTCTTATTTGTTTATTTATATTTCAAATTACTTATATTAACATATATTATTAATATATAAAATAGGCTAAATTTTAGAATCAGTACATCGGCTATCACTTGTGTTCTGTTTGGCCGTTCAACTATTTTGTTTTCCAAAATCATACATAAAATTTAGTTTTGATTTCATTTTAGCTACTAGTCGTTAATGGTGACGTTGATGTGTCATCGTAAAATAATATCACATCATCATCGGAAAAAGTAAACAATATCGCACCAGTAATTTTGTTAATTTTTTAACGGTATGTTACAAAAAATGAAATTAAAATTTAACATTACGTGTGATTTTAAAAAATAGTTGAGTGATTAAAACGGAATAAAAGTGAGAAATGAAGTATTGAACATATAACTTACCCATAAAATATGTGACATTTTAGTTCTCAAATAATTAACAAGTGAAAAATAATGCACATTATTTTTGACCAAAAAACCCCAATAGATCGAATCAAATAACAATTCAATAAATTTTAATTTCAAATATATTTTGATTGTTTGTACTTTATAGTGATGAATTTCAATCATAATTATATGGATTTCTCAAATAATGCATTTGAAAAAAAATTGTTGGAATAGGGCATTCTCGAAATTATTTCGTGAAATAGAGTGAAAGTTACAATAAATCCGAAGACGTCCAAGCGACTTACTGGGGGGACACATGTATGTAAATGTACAAAGGGTAAATTACACAATTAATCATTCATATTTTTATGTTAGTAGTGTAAATATATATATAAACTTTATATCTACTAAATATTCTATTTAAATTGGCATTACGAATATATTTGACATTAATTTAATTATAAAACTATTTTTATTTAAAATACACGAGATATTATCATAATGATACTATTTTGGACAACAATTTCAATTAGAAAATATGTAAGCACGATGTTGGTTTCTTTAGTACACGGACTCCAAAAAAAAATTACCCTTTGTACATTTATGAAAAAGTGAAAAAATTACCCTTTCGTATACAAGTTGAGTGATTAAATTGAATAAATTAAAAAAATAATGAGTGAATTTGGAAAGAGAGTAAAATTGAATGATTAATTGTGTAGTTTACCCTTTGAAAATATGGGAGATGCATTGCACTCCATGCGTCTCCCATATTTTTTAGACTAAATTACATAATTAATCATTCAACTTTACTCTCTCTCCAAATTCACTCACTATACTTTTAATTTTTTCAATTTAATCACTCAACTTTTGTTTTACTCCTATTTTGATCACTCATCGACCATTGTTCAAGTTGTTATATAGAAGCCAATTTGATCCATCAACTCTAGCATTGAATTTGTGTACTAAAGAAACCAACATCGTGCTTACATAATTTCTAATTGAAATTGTTGTCCAAAACAATACAGTTGTATTTAATTAATTTGGAGAGAGAATAAAATTAATGATTAATTGTGTAATTTACCCTTTGTACATTTACATAAGAATGAAATTGATGAAAAATATGGGAGACGCATTGCACTCCATGCGTCTCCCCCAAATTTATGTATAAGTCGCTTGGACTCCATTGCGTCTTCGGGTTTACTGTAGCATTCACTATATTTCATAAAATAATTTCTAGAGTGCCTTATTCGAACAATTTTTTTTTCAACTGTATTATTTGAGAAATTCACCTGATAAAGGTAATTTAGAGATGGATCAAAAGAGTGGATGGGAGAAGTCGTAGTCCCAAAAAATTAAAATTTATTATATATATATTTTAGATTTTTTTTGTGTTTTCGATTAAAAAATTATTTTCACCCCCATGAATTTTTATAAGTTCGTCTTTTTTAAAATTTTTAGAAATTCACCTCTACCATAATTATATTTATAATTAAGCCTAAAAATCGAAATGCCAAACATTAGGAATAAAAGAAACAAATAATTAAGCCTAATTGAAACAATTAAAAGTTTTGGCCTTTTGGGAGGTGGGGTTAAGTTGATCATTAATAAAAAAGAGTTGAAGAAACTTTAATTTATGTGAATCACTCCGCTGTAGTCACTAGTGCTCGAATCCGTAACCTTTAGGAACAACAATAATTCCTTTAACTACTAAGGTGAGTTAATTCGTGCAAAACTTAAGCATGTTTCATTTAAGTACAAGTACACGTTTATTTTTACATTGTATAATGAATTAATTTTTAAAGTGTGCTATTTAAATTTTTTTAAAATATTTATTTTGTTTTAAATATCTTTCAAAATTAATAGAGGTGCAAATTAATCAGACTCGAACAAAAAAATTATATTAATGTTCGTTTATTTATATTTAAAAGTGTTAAAGCATGGTTCGATTTCATTCAAACTTTTGATTTCATATTTTTGTTTGTTTTTTATTTTTATTTTTGAAGGTTATAGAGTTTGTTTCATTTAGCGTTTGTGAACATGTTTATTTAATGCCAACAAGTTCTCATATATGTTTGTCAACATGTTTGTTTGTATTTAGGGATGGTCAAAATACCTAAACTTGACGAGTCACGATCCGACCCAACCCGATCGGAACGATTTTTTTTTGAATTTTCGGGGCTCGGGCTGGGTTGGGCCTGGGTTTAAGGTGAAAAATCTACGACCCGACCTAACCCGGTTATTATTATTATATTATAAATAATATTTTAAGATTTTTTTTATATTATTAAAATATATTATTTAATTATTAAAAATATAAATTATATTAATTTAACCTTTTAAATATAATAAATAATTTATAAATATAGTATGATAAATATATTATTTTAATTATTTTAAAATATTAATATATTTGAGTTAGGTTTTTAGTCTAAAAATCAGGACGAGTTCGAGGCAGAGAAAGCATAAAATTTCTCGGACGAGACCGGGTTTTACATATATACTTTAAGGTGGGGTTCGGGGCGGCCAAAAGCTTGGCTCAGCCCGCCCCGTGCACATCCCTACTTTTATTAGCAAGCCAAAAACTAGTTAAATTACACCACTAGTCTTTAAACGCTTTAAATTTCACAATTTAAACTTCAAAGTTCATATTGTGATCAATTTAATCCAGATATGGACCAATATTTAAAATATAGAATAAATAAAAGAAAAATGAGATTCGGGTAAATGAGTTGATGATCGAACTTATAAACAAGCCACAAACAAACTTTTGAATGAGTTTTTCGTGAATATAAACAAATTGAACAAATATATATTCATATTCGTCCGTTTATAATATAAACAAAAAAATTTAATCATACTTATTTTTATTTAATAAACAAACGTTATATGAACGATTCACAAATAAATAGTCGAACATTATTTTTATTTATTTAGATATTAAATATTACTATTTTTATTTTTACTATAACAACAACATGTCCGTGCAAGACGGCAAAGTAAAACAAAGTCTGAAACAGATTGAAGAAATGGTAAAGTGAATGAGTCTGTATAAACGTATTAATTGTGCCCTCGACCAGACATTTCAGGCAGACATATACATTGA